CCCATTTAATTGTTTATGTATTTTGTCAAGTGACAACCAAAATATTTTATTGGGGTCTTGTTGTAATGCACTTCCACACAGGCATTCTTATGAACGAGAAGGAAAATGATACATAGTTTCTGAAATGTGCAAAAAAATCAAATAAAATTCACTCTGACCAGATTAGTGAGCATTAAGAATAATAATTTTAAAAAAAGAAAAGAAACACGCCAAGGATAAAGTTGTGGAATTTCCCACAACTTTGAAAATCTCATAGCACACTGTCCAATCCATCATCAGAAAACACAGCTCTGAAAAACCGAAGAGACCAAATATTGACTTCTGAACTCTTCCTATAACATCAGTATTGTTGTTTCTAAATTAACATGAATTTGTTTTCTTTGCATTATTTGAGGTCTGAAAGCATCTTTTTTGTTATCTTGACCATTTCTCATTTTCTGCAAATAAATACTAAATTTTTGTTTGGAATTTCGGAGACGTGTTATCAGTAGTTCATAGAATAAAAAAAAATAATAATAATTTTACTCAAACATGTACGTTCAAAAAGTTATTATTTTAAGCGGTCTTTTCATTTTTTCCAAAGCTGCTGTATATAAACACTGATCAGAAATGCAGGCGCATGCTCTCATCTGTGGAGGAGCTGCAGACATATCTGGATATCTGCATCGTGGAGCTTGGGGGAGGAAAAAAAAACATTCTGTCAGAAAGCCATTAGAAGTCTCAGTATTCATTCAGAAGCCATGAATGGGTCACAGTGAACATTTAAGAAAACTTTTGGTCAGATGAGAAGCAAGATTGAGATAACACTGCATATAACCCTGAGAACACCATCAGCACCATTAAACATGGTGGAAATCAGCACCGTCAGACTGAGGCAACCATTTTCATCTGCAAGGAAACGGAAGCTGGTCAGAGTTGTTGGTGGCTGCGAAAAAGATTTTACACTCTGGGAAACCCTGAACATTCAGACAGAGCTGCAATGAAACCTAAATCTAATTAAGAACAAATGAGTAAACAGTTGTTTGTGGCCACTGCTGATAAACTCTGGCAGAGCTTAGGTTTGTTTTGAGACTAAATTTAGTGAATACAAGTGCACATTAAAGTTGAATTAGAATATTAAAGCAACATTTGACTGGAATTATAAAACAAAGATTGTAAGGCGGCTGTTTCAAAGACTGCGGCAGGCTGCTCTCCTTGTGTGGCCTGTGTATATTCTCAGTCATCCGCATCAAGTCTGCAACAGCAGGCTTAAATTGAAGGCTATCCAGGAGTCTTTGTCTTATTAACAAAGACTCTTGGACAGGTGTCAAAACATCTTCAGGAAAAACGAGGAAAAAATCAAATTGCCTTCAATATAAGCCTGTTGTAGTTTTTTTTTTTTTTTTTTTTCACTTTCCAACACTCTACATCTCAGCTGCTTCTCCCCACGGCAGCAGGATTAATGCAGATTGTTCTAAGCAGTAGCACAAGACTCCCCCCCTCTTGGGTCCGATCCATGATGTCAGAAATCAAAACCCAGCAGCCTCTGCAGAAGGTGTTGTGCCTATTTTTGCCTGCAAGCACATATAAAGACGTAGTATACGAGAGTTTGCAGTGAAATGTGTGAGGTAGAAAAAAAGGTGAGGACAAACGTGAAGTATGGCCCCTCTGCAGGACGTATGCTTTTTCTTTTTTTTTAATTCCCTGCAGCATTGCTCTAACTCTTATGAAATGTATGAATATCAGAGAATCTATTTTCAGTTCATCCAGGGAGCATTTGTGCTCACAGTTGCCGCACACTACGAGCTTTCATCCTTGACATTCATTTTTTTATTTTTTATTTTTTTTGAAAAACACGCAGGTGCACGCGTTTACACACTTTCAGGAGAGCTCTTTCTCCCTCATACGTACACACATTCTCACTAGCAACCCAGCAGCATGACATCAGCTGCTCCACATAAGGTCACTAAATGGTGTGTACCAGATACATAATGAGGAACAATGTTTTTTTTTTTATGTGCTTTTTCAGAGGAAGGACATTGATAAACAAAGGGAGAACATACTCCTCTTCCAGCAGAGGCCACAGTGTCATGATGTGGCAGCCAAGTCCCCCCAGTGCAACATTCATTTAAAGCACATTGTAAGCTTGTTTCATGTATTAATGCACCAACCTCCGGTGTTGTGAGGTTGGCGCGCTGAGACCCGGATGTGGCGCACCTGAGTGGGGTACAGGATTCACGCTCAAATTGTTTGCGTTTCTTTCTGTCGTTTTTCAGTGTTTTGCTTGTGCGTCAGTGGGTCAGAACCTCACGCGCTGACGTGCCGCTCCCTCCGTCTTGTCCCACCTGTCTAACGTGACGCATCAGTGACACCGTCGACAGATCCCGAGGCGGTTTGCGCCAAACTCGTTGCGGAGGTATAACCACTGCTTTTTAACTAGCATTTTTGTTGTTGTTGAGGTTTTGGTGTGCACTCCTGTGTCAAAGGATGTAGAATTATCATTCCCATCGTGCAACAACAACACCTGGCGCCCGCAAATTCAGCAGACCTCTCAGAACACCACGGACCTCCCTCGTCGATGTTTCACCACCTGGTGCGAGGCAAATAGGTTTTTGTACTTTCACGTAAAAGTGATGTTTTAAAATACTGCTTCTTGGCTCACAGCTATTCGGATGTGGATAAAATGCTTTATGGAGCACCTTGGTTCTTATTAAGATGAGTTCTGTGGTAGTTATTGCATTTGCAATGCATCAGCAACTCTGGCCAACAGTCTCGTTTACATCAGTTCAGAGAATCAAGGGGAAGTCCTGTGGAAACATCTCTTGTGCATTTTGCTCTTTTTATGCAGTTAAAACAAAAACATTAGAGACAAACCTGAGTGACATCCATTTCCACATTCATGAAGTTTAGCTCCATGATCCCAATTATTGGAGCCATAACCAGTTAAACCCTTATTGACAGGTTTTCCATAATGCTGAAACGTGTGTTGGACTATACTTCCAGAATCATATTAAGGTCAGACACACACTTTGGAGGCGCCATTGTAAATGCTATGGAATCAAATATATAAAAGGTCTATGCAGGAGTAAGAAGCATGAGGCCCAATGTGTGACAAGGGTCTTCCTTTTTTTTTTTTTTGAGAAACAAAATGCATCAATTTTGAATATCTTTAACCGTTTGGGTTATTTTCTGCACTACACAGCCAAGGCGGCACAACCTGTCCCACTAATGCCTGTTGGTGTGGCGAGACGCTTTGATGGCCCCACCAAAGAGATAAAGAATGACGAGAGTGTAGTTCTCTGTGCTGCACAAGCTGTGGCCTACTTGTCAGATAACAAATGATATAAGCCATTGCTGAGGCTGCCGTTAGTTAATTTTTATTTTTTTTACTTTGTTGAGGTGACAGTGAATTGGTTGAAACAGATGTCTGATGGCGTCTTCAGCTCCAACTCCATGGCATTAAGCAAATTTAGAGGTTCTTTGTATTCGCTTGTTTGTGTAATGTGTTGGTAACATGAGCCAATCATGGAAGAGCTTCCTCAACAAGACATGACTTTTACTCCAGCTTAGCCTAGTTGTGCTAAGCTGGAGCAAGTTAAGGTTTTGTGACAGCTCGTCTCATAGAAATACAACGCGCCTAATTATTTTCTCAAAAATGCCTTCGGATAAGTTCATACGTAGCACTGTGTGGAAGTCGGAACTCGGTCGCTTTGAGAACTTGGCCCAGTTTTGTTTGTGTGAACTGCCTGACTGCCCAAGACTTCTTATCTCTCTCACAGGACCGGCCACATCCATGACTCTGAGAACCATTTGTTATGCAGGTTCACGAGATCAAGTGGGTGTTTGTCATTCCCAGGCACACTTCTTCACGGTGGTTGGCTGCCTGTCTCCCCGCGATACCGCAGTGAGGAGAAAACAGCATGAAACGGGCCACGGTCATCTGCCTCACAGAAAAGCAGCGCACAGAAGCCACTTCTCATATGTGGCTCAGAGTTGCTTCGACGTTGCACTGATTTGTCGACAAGATGGTCAGGCAGACGGTATTTGCTGCAACAGTCCGGTCAGCCGGAGAGCAGCAGCTCACACGCCACCAAAAGATAAAGATTCGCACTGCAAAGCAGAACTCCCTCTCTCTCTCTCTTTCTGTGACACACAGACTTACACACACATAGTCATTAGCAGTCACAGCAGGCATGAGTGTGACCCCACAAATAGTGTTTGGGTCATCACAGCCGACGCAGCTAGAGCTGGAGCCTGGAGGATGTGCAGCAGTGAAACAGGAGAGAGCACAGCATATTCTTTGCAAAGGCCAGAGGCCATGGTGTGCTACTCCCTATGCTTGTTCTCAGCAGTGGATACAGAGGACAGGCTGGTGACATCACACAAGGCCACTCGCGGTGACTCACAGACACTAATTCATTAAAGTTTGAACCTCTGGCTCTTGCTGAATTTGACTCCTCTCCACCTCGCGGCTGACATTTTCACCTGCGACATTTCGAGAGTCTCCCTCAAATCTCTTGCTCACCTTCCTTGGACTTCATCACACCGCTCTGCAAACACACACTCACGCAGCACAAGCAATAATGACAGATCTGAGGGTGTAATCCCCGTGCATTCAAATGGGAAATTTAGCAGTTTTAGCATGAAATTGGATTGGGATTATTGTTCCAGTGAGCGTCTGGATGTGCTATCTGTATGGACACAGCCCCCAGATGAAAGTTTCGAAAGGCGTGGAAAAGACAACGATACCTTCTGCCTGAACAACGTGCAAAATTTACGCTGGTGCAAATCACTGTCTCTGTGATTTACAATTTCTAATACATTGCTTTGGTTATATCTGTTGGTACCCTGGATCTCCTCTCACAGAGGTAGATATAACGTGTCAAAAAGTTTTAAAATGTCCATTTAAATTTGCCCAGAAAACGTTGAAGTATTGTAAAATGGAGACAAATATAAGCACAATGAGATGAAGAAAGAGGTTTGTTTTGCAGAACAAAGCTCTTTGTGTGTGTGTGTTTTTTTTTCTTTTTTTGTGTTTGCTCCCTTTTAGCTCACAGGTGAATGATATGGAGGACCTCGACAGAGCAGTCAGCCAGCAGCCTTAGGAGTAAACATGACAGATGCTGATGGACCCTGACACAGAGAGATAAGCATACTCCCAGAATCTCAGTCTGCTGTCCGCTCCAGTGCCGGTTCTGCCTTTCATTCCCACCGCACAAGCCACGCTGCAGCCCATGATCAGCAGGTACCTCAGTGTCTTGATTGCCCAAGTGTAGCATACGATGTGAATGCTCAAAGGTGGACTTTATAGTTGAATGATTTTTGTAGCAGCTGCCTTATTTACTGGCATCACGACGCCTCAATACCTCATTTTATTGAGACGTCTAGGACTCAGCAGTGGTTTTGTATATATGGTCTTGGTGTCTGTTGGTTTTAATATTTTCAAAGAAAACACATGCTTTGTTTCCACAAATAGAAAAAACAAGTCCTTTCAATAAACCTAGAAGTTCTTAACTCTTTTTGGTGTGGAATAATATATTTAAAGGGGCAGTTGTTTGTATTTACCAGGCACACAGTGCAATTTTATGGCACAATCAATTGAGTTGCTATAAATAGTCTATGTATATCAAATATGACTAAAAATGAGTTTGTAAGTTTATGCCTTGAAATTGGGCCTCTGTCTCTTTAAAAATTCCTGCTTTTTCTGAAACTCTGCCTTCAGGAAGTCATTACAACATGGCTTCTTTATTAACCCTTTAGTTTGTCACTGGTGTGGCACTGAGTAGCTTGTATTATGAGCTCAGCAGATGGACATCAATTGTGAGAACATGCTAATGTCACTTAACACCAGCTGATTGTCAAGGGTTCAATGACTTTTGGTAATGGTAATTTATCACTGATTTGGCAAAAAAGAAAATGAGACCAAGTCAAGATATCCTTAACACATTTTGGATTTGTTTAAAACATAACCATCTTTATTAAAAATTTTAACAAAATACATATTTTAGAAGTTACAATATCCAGACACTCCAGACAATTTAGTTTTTCCTAATTAGAGGAGCTCAAGTCGAGGCTTTAGCATTAATCTATAACACCTCTTAACATCTGGTCACTCACCGGTGCTTATATAAACACGTGGACTTTAAATTGGCCTGTCGGTCTCCATTGATCTCACTATCTGTTTACACACACATACCTGATCAATCGTAGCCTGGCTCTAACTGATCGCTATCACTTTCAGTCACTCACATCCAGAGCGCAGCCCGCTGATAGCCTGTGGCCTGCAAATATGTGGACTCTTCATCATGTTAACTGGTATCGGTTCCTCTGGTGGGCGGACCGGGCGGAATCAATTCATCTGGAGAGGATCGCAGGACAGCAGATAGCACGCAGCTGAGCGTGTGCAGTTTGGATAAAGTGACAGACGGTGAACTTAGTGGAGTGAGACAATGTATAGCTCCAGGCAGCAAAACTGAATGGTAAGTAATATTTGGAAAGAAAAAGTGAGTTGAGGGTTCAAAGGTTCAATACAATTCAAATTTTCTTGAATTGTATTGGGATTTTATTTGATTAACCAAAAGAACAAAAGGTTTTTTTTTTGTTTATATATATATAAAAAAGAAAATTTGAAAAGTTTCATTTTTTGTTCACCGTTCCCAGTCAGTTCTATATAGAATTACCCATCGTTGTATTTAATACTGCATTCATTTCAACCGGTTTTGCACATTTGCAGATCTAAATTGAATTTTTTTTCCCAGACTGAATAGTTCGACCTCAGCCAGACTAGAACGAAATAATCTGTCAAATTGCAATTTCCAAGTCTTTGACCAAAAAACATTTTGTTGTGGCTCCAGATGGATGTTTGATGTCCTGGTGGAAAGTGAACATCCACCCCACATTCAAGTCGTTTGCAGCTTCCGACAGATTTTCTTCCCTACATTGAACCTCTTCCATCCTCCCAGCATCTCAGCCCCCTACTAAAACAAAACACACATCTCCACAGCATGTGGAATGACTGCTTGTAGTGATGGCATAAGGACTGTGTGTCATGTTTAATGTTAGTCATTTTCTGACCTGTTGGATTGTCTGCAGAGACTCTGACTGTTTTAAGCCAGAGGCAAAATGGTTGTTCGAGGCATGGGGAGGGGGTTAATAAAAGAACAAGTAAGACCGACTGAAACTGGAGTGGGCTGCTGCCTCCCACCCAGCCTCCCCCCAAGCTTTCTCTCTGATCCTGCAGGGTTGTTCCATTTCTTGTCCTGTTCTTGGGGGAAAAAAATTATCCACATTTCTCTCCCTCAAGTATTTCAAATTAGAAAAATAAAACCAAGGTGCAAGATCAGCAAGTCTTACCAGCCACTTCTACCGATCAAACACTTGTGACAGTTCATTTTCCCTTCCCGGATTTAAGGTGGGACTGTGACAGCTATGCCGGCTCGGCTGCAGGGTGTGACGGCTGCACGGAGAAGACAGACACCTCGCAACTGGAGGCGCAGTAGAAAGAATTAGCAGCTGCTAATCAGATCAGCGGGAGGCAGCTGTTCCCTCATCGTCTCGAACATCTGTTTATCTTCTCAAACAATTCAGGAATTCACAATAAGTCAGAGGGAGCATCTCTACAGCGAGCCACTCGACAAATGTTTACATGTTGCATTTGCAAAATAATAAATAAAGGGAAATCAAACCTCCTGATCATGTCTTCATCAAGTGTGTACAGGTTTTTTTTTTTTTTTCAAATTCGCTTTGCTATAATTGTGCATATCCTGCAAGTAATTCAGTCCAGGCAGCCTGTCACAGAGATTCTGATATTTGGGTGAGAGTTTCACAGTGAATTTAAAGGTTCATATTTAAACCAGTGTATAATAGAGTCGGACAGACACGGTTGTTGGCAGGTATTTTCATAAAGGCCCGCAGTTATATCTGGTCACTTAAAGGCGTTAAGTCTGAATAAACTCCGTACAGCCAGGTAAATTTTATATTGCATTGGTGCATGACTGTGACAGGAGATGATAGCAAGAGACCACCCTCTAAAATAAAGTATGTGGCGCGGCTGCGGAGCGGTGACCTGTGTGAGAAATAAATTACAATACGGAGGGAACATCACATTCTTTTGGCCCGAAGAGAACTGAAAGATGAGGGGCTGTGTGACACCATTTCTCTGCAGACTGTTAAATGCCACTATTTGGTCTTTTTTCCATTTATGAGGGAACTTCTTTTTTTTTTTTCTTGCCCCAACTGCCCCTGAGCGCTGCGCTCTGCTTGGCCACAAATCTCAAGTCGTTCGAATGCCGAAATGGACATCGGCCTCTGCAAGTTTCCTGCAAGTCGCCACAGTGAACTGAAGTTTCCGCTTTCACTGGAAGTTGGAAGGAATCCACTCAGATTTGTCATTGTGCTTTGGAAACTCTCCATGGTATGGGAGCTAAAAAGGTAGCTGTTGAGAGTTTCGCCCAACAAACAGGACATTGTGCTCCTCCATGTTGTCAGCATGGAATTTTGATTCCGAGCTTCATTGGGAAAGGCAGTGAATGCTTACATAGATAGGACTTTTTCTGTTTGTTTTCTATTTTTAATGAATTCAAAAAAATATTTCCACATCGTGATAATGGGGTATTTGAGTGTAGAATTTTGAAGAAAGAGATTCATTTGACAAAATTTGGAATAAGGCCCTAGCATATGTGGAAAACGTGAAGCGCTGTGAATGATTTCCAGAAGCGGCGTTTGTGAGGATCTGCTTCATTGTCCTATCAAAATCGCGAGGCTCGATGGCGCAGACGCGAGATAACATGGATACATACACCAGACACTTGAAGAGACGAGAAATAACCAAGACCAGGGAAATTTGTTAGAACATTAACGCTTTGATTTTTATGTTCTCTTTAGGTACATGAAAGCAGCTTTCCCTCTGTGCCAGGATTAGTGCTGCTTCTCTTTTCTGCTCCAGTCATAATCTCTGCTTCAGTAGCATGGTGGGTTCAATTAGACGTAGGCAGATGTGTCTGCCTGATCAAGTTTGGTCTAAAAGCTTTCTGCATGCCTGCTCGCTCTGTTTCTTCCATCTTCAACTATGAGACAACACTGCCCTCACAGGTTCGCTTTGGACTTCCACCTTTTTCTGTCTGCCCGACTGAGAGGGAATAGGAATTTCAAATTCCTATTTCATCCAGTAGGCACAAGCTTCTTCTTGCGGCTCTGTGCCTCCACCGAACTTGGGAGGCGTGAAACTCGCCAGTCATCCTGTGTTTAATTTCATGTTTACGCGACACAGCCTTTGAAGCTCATGGGTCGATAATGCTGCTCTCTGGCCTGTTGGTGCCGAAGGCGTGAACTCTAAACACAGAGAGGTCATTTGGATTCACAGCCCTGCTTGTTTGGCCTTTTCTGTTACTTTCATTACGGCTGCATAATTTAGGTGTTTACAGTTATTCCTCCCCGGGACAGTTTTTCCGTCTCTTTGTGCTGCTTTTAGGAATCTGACGTTATAGCTTAGAATCTCTGTCGCACCGCTGTGAGATGAATTGCTCTGGCAGAGTCTCTCTGATATTCTTTACGCTTCTTTTGTGGATTTTTAGTTCGTCCTTCTTTTGTTTGGGAGTTAATTTGTCTTTAGCTAGGAATGCAATCATTTGCTGGTTTGCAATCACCCCGAGCAACAACCCACAACAAAAGGGCTGCCTTGTTTCTCGTCCAATCTTTACTGGTTCATTATGTCAAACTTTTGGGCAATATGGTACCTGCCAGTGTTTTCTTTTCTGAGTCTTTTATGTTTGCTGACATTTCTTGGTGTTTTTGTAGTGGCTTTGTTTAATTGTATTTTTTCTTAACCTTAGACGTTGAAGCTGGAATTAACATTCCCATTCAATTGTCTTGTCTCGGCCTTTATGCTGTTCTAACACTGATCAGAACGGTGGCAATGTTTCCAAGTACAAAGGCTAGATAGTATGTATTTCAATTCATTATTAAGGCTTAAACTTTACATGTGAGAAATCCGATTTTTTCATATTTAGCCACGCATTTCATTCTGAATGTCTGAGATCGGATCACAGGGATAGCAAATTCTGTTGGGAAACCCAGACAATACCTCCTTCCCCCAGCAGCACTCTCCAGGCGTTCCCAGGACACAAGGGCCTATATTCAATCAAACTTTGGCCAAAAATATATGGCCCCAAGCACAGCAATTTTTGGGATACGTCGTAGCACTGAAATATGAAATACGTCACTGCCAAATGTTAGCAATTGGGTAATCACAAAACACAAAGCGCAGTACAAGAGGCTAGGGAGTACTCCTGAGGTCAAGTCTCAAGTGGGAACTTGCTGACAAGTTCCTAGCAAACGCACAACCTGCAGGGAGGAATGTCAAGGTGTTAACTCTTTGGTGGTTGGGTGTCATGTAATTCCGGTGAGAGCCAATGTAGGAACTTGAATATGTTTAATGTTTATTTTGGTACCAATGTTGTTTCTACTGCAATATCTTCCTTAAAGCATTTTCTAAGTCCTAATTCACAAAATACTCAGATACGAGATTTTCGCTGTAGTTACAGCCATGTATTGGCTTATTTATGTATGGGTGCAATGCCTTTTCACCTTTGGGGTTGGACATTAGAGATCATTAGAGATGATCTGTGTAACCAGCTTACTGGCGACATGTAAAAAAAAAAAAAAAAAAAAACTCAAACACACCGGGTGTATAATTCAATCAAATCATTCAAATTTTATTTGTATAGCACATTTCAGCAAGGCATTTCAAAGTGCTTTACATCATAAACACAAGAACACAAAGTCATGCAAGATAGACAACACATTGTTACATATTGTTACAATTCTAAAAAGGTGTGTTTTTAGTTGCGATTTAAAGGAAGTCAGGGTTTCTACTGTTTTACAGTTTTCCGGAAGTTTGTTCCAAATTTTTGGTGCATAGATGCTGAAAGCTGCTTCTCCTCTCTTGGTTCTGGTTCTGGGGATGCAGAGCAGACCAGAACCAGAAGACCTGAAAGATCTGGAAGGTTGATACAACAACAGCAGATCTTTGATGTATTGTGGTGCCAAACCGTTCAGTGATTTATAAACTAACAACAATATTTTAAAGTCTATTCTTTGAGCTACAGGGAGCTAGTGGAGGGACTTTAAAACTGGTGTTATGTGCTCTATCTTCCTGGTTCTAGTGAGAACATGAGCAGCAGCGTTCTGGATCAGCTGCAGCTGATTGATTGATTTGTTGGACAGGCCTGTGAAGATGCTGTTACAATAATCAATGCGACTAAAGATAAACGCATGAATGAGTTTCTCTAGATCTGGCTGAGACATTAGTCCTCTAATCCTGGAGATGTTCTTCAGGTGATAGAAGGCCGACTTTGTTACCATAATTGTTACCATTACCACACATTACACTGGTTGCATTGAAGTATAGCGACTTTACCCAAGGGTAGTTTCTTCAATGGAGGCTTTACTAGAAAATAAATACAAAGGTGTCCCACGCCATCAATTAATCACGTCTTTTCTTTGTATCTCTCTGCTGTACGCTGACCCCGGTGGGTTCCATTCTGTGCCTCCTTCGGTTCCGTGATGCCAGCTTCATTCTTTATAAGCTCATGTGTGTGTCTATGATATCCCCAGCTTCATTGGTGATTTATTACTGACCCGAGAAAGCTCAAGAGAGAGACTCGCGTTTGTGAGCTCAGATTGAACCGTTTCGTGTCAAGATCTTCTGTCTGCGTTGAACTAAAAGTCGAGCAAAATTCAACAACAAAAGTTTGTTGGGTTTTTTTAATCACTCTCAGTCAAAAAAGAGGTACAACATAAAATCTTTGGAGGAACATCTTGTAGAACTATATCCATTGGAGCATTTCAGAAATAAATACTTCCGGATTTTGACATAAGTGAAAAAAATATATTGCATATGTCTAGCTACTGATGTCTAGTTGTTGATGCACTGCTCTAATTTTCTTGAATCTACTCCGCTGCAGAGTGACATCCTCATTAACATTCGACGTCAGGCCCTTTTAGCATCACCCGTTTGAGCTGTCACAAAAAGAAAGGTGCTGTCACATGAAAAGTTCCATTTTAAGCATACGACAGCTGGGCCGGGAGGGGGATGTGTTGGGCAGCTCCCAATATCCTCGAACTAGAGAGAATAGCTTGGTTCAGATCTGAAATCAGAAGTCAAAAGTGAAAAAAGAACCATTTCAAACAGCAAACTGTGGATCCGGTGCGCCTGCTGACACACGAGAGACAAAAAGTGAATGGACGTCAGTCTCCGTTGAACAAAACTAAAAAAATAACATCCCAGCGTAATTGATCTTTTTCACAGTAGATGGAAACCCTGACAGTAGTTTGGTTCAGATAAAAGTCTTGGCAAAGCATGCCTGCTAGGCAAAAAGCTCACTTAATTTAAAATTGACCATCATTACTGGCGCCAGTCGGTGGGTTTCCTGATGTGATCAGGTGTCAGCTATCACCGGAGGAAATCTTTTTTGTGTGGACTCTTTCATAACAGTCAGTCAGTCAGCACTGTGCTTATTAAATTCAGCTGCTTGCTTCATAGCCCCTCTGCTACTGCATAATTTCACTGTGAGACTGAATTAGTTCCTGCCTGCACTGTTGGTTCCTTTATTT